CTTAAATGATTTTAGCAAATGGCTGCAATATAACAAAGAGTGAAAAATTTAAGGGGGTCTGAATACTTTCCGTACCCACTGTATATTATGTAAACTAAAACTTTTATTTTGGATGCGATTAATCGCGATTAATCATTTGACAGCACTAGTATTGATGCTAAATATTTAGCTTTGAATCATAGGAATAAATTACATTTTACAATATAGTCACATAGAAAACAGTAATTTTATTTATTTTATATTGAACAGTTGTTCTAAACGGAAAATAAGACGCAAGTTTCATTTCTGGGTTTCTTTCTATGTATCTGTTCACATTGTTCAACAATGTGGCTCTTGTCACTTAATTATGCAAAAATGACGTTGACTAATTTACCTTATCAAATTAATTAACAGTTGTTGGAATTAGGTTTTTCAAAACGATTAGTATTCCTGTGGTGGTTTACATATTGTTACTTATTCAAACACTCATTTACAAGATATTATTAGACGTGATTAAGTGATCTCGTGTACACACACACAGTCTCTTTCTCTCTTTGTTTTCAGCCTCGTCTTGCTAATATGACAAACAATGGTAAATTGTGTTGTCAAAGCACTAGCTGCTGTCAGTAGATATCACAAAGAACAATGCAAGTTAAATAAATAAAATACTGTCTTTCTCTTTCCGTCTCTCTGTCTCAGTAAGGACCCGAGTCAACAGCGAGTAAAGAAGTGGGGCTTCTCATTGGACGAGGCTTTAAAGGACCCAGTGGGCCGTGAGCAGTTTCTTAAATTCCTGGAGTCCGAATTCAGCTCCGAGAACCTGCTGTGAGTTTTCCAGCACTTTATTCCTCCGTCCTCCTTTCACTTGCACTTCTGTGACATTTTCCCCTCTCTCTTATCCCCCCACTATGCTTTTAATTACTTGCACAAAATGTAGCAGAACAGGACAAGCAAAAGGTCAGACCTTTAATATCACCGATGAGAAAGAGTGAGTAAATCCACTGATGGTACATGATCATTACCACCTCCAAAGCCTGATCGCTGATGCATTGTGATAAGCTACTGCAAACCACGGCCGTCGTGGGGCAAATGAGGCAGCGGCGGGCCCCAGGAGACGCCCAACCAGGACAGCAAGGCCCCGAAGGGAGCTGCAGAGATAACGCAGGTCACTGAAGCCGTAAAGTGACTGGGCGAGAGATAAAATGCTGCTTGTCTCCATGCATCTCTCATCCCTCTCGTATTTCTGCGTATCCCCCAGCTAGGCATCTAATAGCCTCTGTGGGGGCTGTCTTATGTTTGCCAGTCTGTGAGGAGAGTGAAAGTGATGTGTCCTCTTGACTGCCTGACTCTCCCCTGGGCCCATTAGGGCCTAAACCACTTCTACACTGCAGAGATCTGTAGAGCTACAGAGCAAGTGTGATATGAGAGTAGAAGGAGTTACTGGCCGATTGCTTTCCTCTATCTGTCGTGGCGAGTGCTGTGTGTGTGTACTGACTTCAATAATTAACCCGGTGTTTGTTCCTGAGGATTTTGGGAATGCCATTGCCATCAGCGATGTAAAGAGGGGGCCAAACGTAACACATGCCAAGTGCTAATTGGGAGTGAAAATAAGCTTTAGGGAGGGAACTTGGCTGTGGAACAGCAACATAATGCATAATTGAAATCAGATTATAGATAGTCTGGCCTTCACTTGTTTACCATACAATTTAACAAACACCTAAATGTTTTTCTTCTTCTTCATAACTTCATGCATTGACACATATATGCAATATTCCTCACATGGAAATATGAGGTAGAACACCAAAATATGAGAACAAAATCATGATGCCATTGACCAACGTTACAAAAATATATACGCTATCATTCAAAAGTTTAGGGTTGGCAAAACGTTTAAATGTTTTTGAAAAGAAGTCTCTCACCAATATGACTTTTTTGAACCAAAAATATGATTTAAAAAGTAATATTGTGGAATATTATTACACTTATTACACAAAACAACTGTTTTCTATTTTAACCTATTTAAAAATGTAATGTATTACTATATAATTTATTTATATGATGGCAAAGTTGAATTTTCAGCTGAATTACTTCAGTGTCACATGATCCTTCAGAAATCATTCTAATATGCTGATTTGCTCAAGATACATTTCTTATTATTGTCAATGTTGAAATCAGTTGTGCTGCTTGATATTTTTGTCAAAACCATGATCATTGTTTCAGAATTCTCTGATTACTGGAAAGTTCAATAGAACAGTATTTAAAAAGAAATTATAAATGTCTTTACTGTCACTTTTGATCAATTTAATGCATTGTTGTTGAATGAAAGTACTAAAAAAATCCTACTAAGCCTAAACTTTTGAATGGTAGTGTATATATTTAGAATTTTTATTTTTACAATAAAACTACATATGTTAAAATTAATTTGATTTGCACCATCCTTCCATGACCAATACTCTATAAAGTGAGTGCATAATTATTAGGCACATTGATATTCTGGTCATTTTTTTTCCCCAAGCACAGTTTACCAATTCCAAACCACATCAATCTTAATAACTACTATTAATTTTGTATTTAATAATTTATAACTGATATATAATTGTCCATGAAGGCTGGAAGTAAAAAACTTCTTATATTCAGGTGTGCATAATATTTAGGGATGTTTTCTTTTACAGATAAAATTAACCAAAAAAGAGATTTAACTCAGACTGAAAGTCAAAAATGATTAAATTCCCATGATAAGGATGCAATACTAATTCAATACTAGAATTTGCAAAGTTAAGGCATGACCATTAGACAGCGAAATGCTCATTGGGTCAGCACGGTCAGAAAAAACAGGTGGAGAAGAAACTGCAAAAGAATTAAGAATTAAGGTGAAGAATTAGGTATGATCCATCAGGAACCTTTTAGTCTCCAGTACCACCATTTTCCAGAACTGCAACCTACCTGGAGTCTCCAGATATGCAATGTGTCAGGTTCTCGGAGACTTTGCTCGGGTAAAAATCCAAAAAAACGACTCTCACTTAATAAGGATCACATGCTGAAGTGTTGTAAAATACATGAAGACTGATTTTTTATAGGCTTTATAGACAGATAAGTTGAGAGTAACTCTTGAAGGACCAGCACGACATCCTCTTGTACCACGCTTTCAAGAATTTATCTTCCAGAATCTGGCAGTAAGTTTTGGGAGTTCATTTTTAGTCCATCTCCTATCCTGAAAAGTCTGTCTTGCAGAGATGGACTAAAAATTAACTCCCAAAACATACTGCTTTCAGGCTGAATTAAATCTTTTTTTTTTTGGCTCATTTTATCTGTAAAAGAAAACATGCCTAATAATTATGCACACACTGAACAGCTGACATTTATTATTATTTTCTCTTTAGGTTCTGGTTGGCTGTGCAGGATCTGAAGTGCCGCCCCCTGCAGGAAGTGGCGGCTCGTGCTCAGGAGATCTGGCAAGAGTTTCTTGCTGAGGGAGCTCCCAGTGCCATCAATCTGGACTCGCACAGCTACGAGCGCACCAGTCAGAATCTAAAAGACCCGGGCCGCTACAGCTTTGAAGATGCCCAGGTGAGCAACTGCCTTCATAGGCAGCAGCGAAGTCTAATTAATCCTGCTGCAAGATATACGTTATCCCTTGGGAGAACCTGCTACATATTTATTCATGCGTGCATATACAATGTCATGATTGAAAGAAAAATAGAAGCAGGATCATGAGGACAGAAAGCAGTTTTTTCTGAAGATTCTTGGCTCTTATCATTACTTTGCAATGAGGCGCTTTCCTTTCGTCCAGGCTGCAAACTCTCTGTCAGCCTCCAATGTTTTTTCTCTTTCAGGACCACATCTACAAGCTGATGAAGAGTGACAGCTACCCTCGTTTCCTGCGCTCCAATACTTACCAGGACCTCGTGCTGGCCAGAAAGAAGGTTCGTCTCAATCTCAAATCTCTCTCTGCCGCGTGTAGTGAATCTGAATCATTTTTATGCATTTTTGTTTTCAGCATCGCTCAGTATTCTTTTTCACAAACCATTCAGCCATAAGAACAAAAATCAGTGCGCTCCTAGAGTACTGTAAGGGAAAAAATGTTGAAAAACAGAAAAGATCAATTTTCTGACAGGACATTTTCCGTTAAAGGAATAGTTAATCCCAAAATTAAGATTGAGAATGAACATTTACGCACCCTCATGTCATCCAAGATATAGATGAGTTTGTTTCTTCATCGGAAATCATCAATGGATCCTCTGCAGTGAATGGGTGCCATCAGAATGAAAGTCCAAACAGCAGATAAAAACATGACAATAAACCACAAGTAATTTGTACAACTCCAGTCCAACAATTAATGTCTTGTAAAGTGAAAATCTGTGTGGTTGTAAGAAACGAATCAATCATTAACACGTTTTTTTATTTTTTTTATTTTTACTTCACACCGTTGCTTTCAGCTTAAGTCCTCTATTCATAATGCTTTTTCCAGTGAAGAACTTGCCTCGTCAGAATCAGGAAAGAAATAGGCACATATCAAACACTGACGAAACAGTCGAAAACAGCCCGAAACAAATTTGTAGATTAATTTTGATGTGAGAGTTTTTCACTGAAGGAAGCATTTTTATTATTGACGGCACCCATTCACTGCGGAAGATCCATTGGTGAGCAAGTAATGCTAAATTTCTCCAAATCTATCCCGATGAAGAAACAAACTGTACTTCCTGAATGGCCTGAGGGTGAGTAAATTTTAGCACATTTTTCCAAGTCAGTTCTTTCGTAAGAGACGATATTTCAAGCCTTAGTTTCCTTTCGACTAAAAACATCAGTCCTGAATTGAATGATTTCCTTTTCTTTGCTTGCAAACGAGTGTTCAGTGTTCAGCTTGCACCTATTAAAACATACTAAGCCAACTTAATATTTACTCATCAAATGGCCTACTTGCTCTACTGCCAACTTGTAATGGTTAAACATGAGCACTTCAGTTCACTTCAGAGCCATTCTACAGTTTGATTGTGTCTCGTCCCATTGTGATTATTTCAGATTAACATTCATTTTCTTGAATATTTTTTGTGTTATCCATTTACTTTTATTTACTAACAAGTTAACCTGGTGTTGTGCACTGTATCTTCCCCATTCCCCTCCATTAACCTCGGCTCCACAGCCTGAGACTGAGCAAGGTCGACGCACATCCCTGGAGAAATTCACTCGCAGTGTGGTGAGTGGCACCTGTCTAGAAAAAAACGACCATCGCCAGTCTTTTTCTAGCTTTATTTCAAAATCAAGCTTTCTGGAAGGTAGTCAGACCAGAATAAAATAGTATATTTATGTATAAATATACTATTTGTTATATTTGGAATTTAATGATGAATATTATTAGTCGAATCCAAGATCACAATTTTTAAACGGTACTCTTTAAAGTCCACATTTAATTAATTGTAATTGTGTTTCAGGGCAAGTCTCTGACAAGTAAACGACTGACAGGCCTCATGCAGTCCACCTGACGAGTCCTGCAGTTTGCAGTTTGTTGGGGTGGAAGGATTGTGGCCATGACGGACCACGTGTATGGACCACCCTCTCTCCAAAATCCACCCGAACACCGCACAGCTACCGACTCTAGATGGCAGCATGCAATAAGTCCCCCCCCCTAAAAAAAAATCTCCAAACGGCGACAGTGCTGTCTATGTCTATTAAATCAGTGACTACAAAGACCGCATACATGAATGTCAGATTTATCAGTACCATCTAGAGAACCATTTTACGTTTATTTGATATCTACAACCAAACTGCAGCAAGGACGGGACTGTCTCCCTGGATTACTGTTAAAAAACATCCATTTTCAGATATGAAAACAAGGTGTGCTGTCATGTCAACGCTAAGCATTTAGATGAAGTGAGGATGTGTCTCAAATCTTCAGAGCATTCCAAAGGAGTGAAGAACTTGACAAGGGCTTTCAGTGACTGTGTTCCCTCAGTCAAGGTTTGCACAGATCTTTTCGTCATATATTTTTTGTTGGACAGTCACTGAATATGAAGAATGAAAGTGGAAATGAAGGGGTTTGGAAAAGCACATTATTATTCCTGCCATTTTGAAGAAACTAGAATTATTTATTCTGTCTACAGGCCATGTTATACTCACCTATTGTATTAGCACATGATACTTCTGAGATGAGAAAATAATGAAGAGCGATACCTTTTAGACTTTTTATTGAGAAAAAAAAAAAGTGGTAGTACTGTATTTCAGGATGATTCAGAGCACAGAATATTGCTTTTGCACAAAAACGGCGCCAGTGAGGAACGCTGGATCCCGGAGATGAGAGTCCTGCTTTGTCAGTGTGTTTCCTGAACAGCTTTACAGCAAAATGTCCAAACAAATAACAAAATGAAATGATTTAGGAGCATCTATGGAGGCCTATTTTGTCACATTAAAAAATCAAAATTGACCCTTCGCAAGGAGTTTGATTGACAGGCGATCTGACCAATCATAAAGCAGAATCCGCCATTTTTGTCTGACAAACAAACCAGATAGAAGAGTAGATAACCGTCGGTGGACTTGAACTTGAAAAATGGTGTGTATTGACGTCTTTCCACGGTTGAAACAAGATACCTTCTGATGTTCATTTATGTTGATTTCATGCTATATAACTAGTCGGTTCACATACCGCTTGAACTGAGGCGCTACAGCGATGTGTCACGACAGCCACAAAATGGCATTTATTGTTTGAATTTCTTAAAAATTACAAAATTTTTCATACCAAAACTAACCTGCTCTGTCTTGTCTTGTCAGTTTCCTCTTTGCTCCGCGATTTATTTTCACTGCATTGTATTTTCACATTCAACATGATGTGTGGCGTTAGAGCGCCATGGCTTGTCGGACAACAGTAATGAAGGGGGACGGGTCTTTAAGAAGAGTCGATTATGACATAAATTGAAATTATGAGATTCAATTATGAGATTTCTGAGGGAAAAAGTAAAAAAATACATCAATTATTAGATTTTTTTTTTTTTCAAAATCTATAAGAAAAGTTACAATTATGAAAACTGACAAAAAATAATTATGACAAAAATGTAATCATTTTGATTTGATCTTATAGTTATGACTTAGTATCTCATTTTGACTATTTAATTTATAATTATGACTTAAGTCAAAATTATGCAATACTAAGTCATAATTGGCGTAAGTCATAATTATAACAAAAATCTAAACTTTTAATGATATAATTATGACTGTGTCATAATTGTGATTTACCAAAGCAATTTTTTTTCAAAGCATCTGATATTACTCTATGTTTGAAATCAATATATTGGTCCTTATAAACTATGTTTGTCTTTGCTTTAATGAATGGTATTGTAGTGTAGAATGTAAGCGCTTAATGTCGCTCTGTGTTAACGGTGTTGTGATTAGTATGATGATGATGATTTGCTCTGAACACAAACATATGGGGATCACAGCCCTTCCTTTTCAACATATCAACAGTAGACTGTTTTTGTGGGATTACTACCCATTAGAAAGGTGTTTTTTCATTGCAGGACACCCAGCCGCATTTCTGTAATTTTTGCTTGCATCGTTTCCTGAAGCAGCATCACTGCCAGAGACACATAGACTTATGCTGCTGGAACACATGAATTCTCTCAGTTGTCTTTAGCCCACAAATTTAAACACAATCAAATGGCAGAACAGAAATGTGTGCAGCTGATATAGCACGTTTCCTTTACACATTTTCAGGTAGTTGATTTGTTGACTCATAACTGTACATTAGGTTGAAATGGAATGTATAGACTTTGCAGCAATCCTGGATATGGAAGATGCTGTGTAGAATACTGAACGTGGAATATAACTTAGAGGCACAAGTGCCATATTCAGCACAAATCTATGCATGGAATATTTCTAAAGAGTTTTATTGCTTTTAGGCTTTTTTTTTTCATTGGCAAAGATGAGGAGGTCTAGACAATGGAAAGGAGGACCTGAAGTCGTGAGACATTCAATAAACATTCAGTTTGGAGAGCTCTGGAATGCTTTTTCATTTTTCTCTGCATGGACAGAATTTTATGTCACATATTCTTAGCTCAAATTGTTTGTGACAGTTCATTAAACATCTATTAAATGTTGAACTTAGCAGTACACATATAGCAACAGTACATCGGAGAATTGTGCTTCAATAAGCTAGATTTGACTTCCATAAAGCCAGTGAGATAGGATTTCATAATCATACTGAACTGAGATAAGCACTGAATGACATTACAGAGGAAGGAGGTGTCTCTGCTCAACTGTTAATGTGTACGTGCTGCTCTCTAGTGGTAAGCATTGCAGGAATAATGTTAAGCATAGACTTGCTTTTACTTTTATTTTTTTTATTAAAAGTTACATTATAACAAGGATAAAAAAAGAAAAATACAAGAAATAATAATAAAGAAAAAACTAAGTACAAAACGATTCTTGTGATTGCAAAGGATTAAAAGGTCAACATTTGTGTTTGAATACAGATGATTATATACAAGAAAGGCCATTGTAACAGGCTGCATTTTTAAAAACTTTTGGACTAGATTAATTTTGTAAATTGGTAATGGAGCTGTTTCTAGCTTAACCCCGGTTTGTCGTCTTTTTAAAGGTGCTGTATGTACGTTTTTGACTCTACTAAAGCATCATACATGTTTATCTGAAGAACAATACTAGTCAGTTATTCTCCTTTGAAAATGTGCATTCCGGGCCGGAATGTCGGTCTCTGTTTTGGTTTGTGAAACCCGCCCACTGCCAGTTTACCCAATTGTATTTCGGCACCTCTGGTTGCCAGTTGGCGGAAAACACAGCACATTTAATTTTATTCATCGTCAAGTGCGCTCGTTCCTGTTGGTGTCGTCAATCTGGCAACCTGCGTGTGCGTCAAGTCTGAGGAGGAGGGGCTGGATGAAAAAAACCCGCTCCAATATTTTGAATTTGGACTGCAATACCTAGTTCAACCACTCGGTGTCAATCTTACATACAGCACCTTTAAGCTTGCTTTCAACCCTGGGCAATGAGAAGTATTGCACTTTTACTTTAGAAGGGTATTTAGCAGTGGGTTATGAAGAAAAAAAATCTTGAGTTAAATCCCCTTTCAAGGAGTGCAACACTGCCTGACCACTTTTTAAGTGCCATTGGTTCAGGTAGTATTTTCCCATAGGATTTGTAGTTCTCATTAAAGTATTATAAACTATGAACATTACAAACTTTGATTTGAAGCCAAAGGTACAAGACTGGTACCAGACAGCTTTAATGAGGATTAAAAACTATAATCCCATGAAGCTTTGTGAATGAGTCGATCAAATTACAAAAACAATGGAAACAAGGGGTCCATTTGCTTTTGTGATTCTCTGGTGGAAATGTCCTTGCAAAATCATGGATAATGTAGTTTTTCACCAGAAATTCCCAATATAAATGACAAAGGCATATGGTATATGGTGGTATATGAGGATAATAACATACTACCAAATACCATTAATTAACTACCTCACTTTTTTTTTTTTTTAGCAATTTATGTTAAAATCGTTGGAGAAAATGGATTGGGATTTTTATTTTGACTGCTGCACTCTATAACTGGTAGTTGTTTAGCATCAAATAACCAATCATTACCCTGAATAGCGCCTGCTTCATTAAATATTCATGAGCTTTGTACAGTCACAGAAACTTTTGCATTGCATTTCATTTCAACGTTTGAGGGAAAAACACAAAGTTCAAACAGAAATGAATGGAAAATGCATTCATAACATTGCAGAAGAGACCAATTTATTCTGATGGCACATTGAGGAATGAGACGAGCTGATATTTTAATGAAGCACATGCTGTGTTCCTCCAATCAATATAGGCAAATATCCATAAAAGAACACTAACCCGGGGTTTACAAATGTACAGTCTAGTACAAAACATGAAAAAAGACACCTGAAGGTTTATATTTAGAATGGGTTAACAATTTTAAGTGCGAAATGTCAATGTATCAGCTGTCTGTTTTTCTTTTCTAAACAAAAATCTTATTCCAAAGGCCTAACTATGGTTAAATGAATGGACTCTAAACATCATCTAACTAGTTTGATTTTGGAACCTTTAATAAATTTCTTAAGCTGAAAAACAAATGTAAATTTGATGTAGATGACCTTTAAAATAGATAAAAATGCATAGCTAAAATATTCAACAGATCGCAAGATCTGGAGAGTGTTGATGAATTGGCTCTGAAAATAGAGCCTCTAATGGATTATACAGGTGAAGGAGGTGGGAATGACATGAGAGAATGTCCAGATGGAAATAGAAATGCTAATACATCACGAGCAAAGAAATACAAAACGGAGTGAACAGATGTTTCACTCAGAGAGGTATGAAGGGCTCCAAACAGGCGGATGGAACAATAGAAGGTTCTAGGACACACAAAACTGGAATGTTCCTGGAGCATAACCAGATATGTCTGCCACAGTGTAACAAAAGATTAAACAGTCTAATGCATTCACATTTAATAATTACAAAATGTAACCTAGAGGAAAAAAAGCTGGCTTGAAAAGGCAAAACAAAGCATGCAAGTACTATCGTAGCACAAGGAAAAGCATTACATGATGGTTATCATGTAATTTACCAACCACATGATTGTCTGCTAAATTATATATGTAAAAGAACAAATAAAAACACTCAACAGCATTATTTTCCAGTCCTGAAGTCAAAGCTAAGTGCTGCTTCAATACATGGAAAAACTATTTTTTGCCATTTAGTTTAAAGACTTTCACAATAACTCTCAGATACTATGCTCTACCTGAATGATGATCCCAGTAAGAAAGATGAGCTACTAATCACATTTATTCTCTTTACATCAAACAGTTTCTTGTTATGAGCCAGAAATCATGTGGGCTTACAAACATCAGACACATTGAAAACATGATTAAAGTGAACAGAACCCGACTTAAATGAAAAGGATTTTGCTTTATACCACTGGTGTGTGTCTCTGAGTAAGTTTATGTTGCTTTTATTAAAGACATAGAGAAGAAACAGCAGATAACTTGATTAAAAAATTTGGTATTTGTTAGAAATAGCTTCGAATTGCAGCTCAGGAGCTTATGTGTGTGTAAGAGGTTGATTATCACTTCATTCATTTGTAATATTATAGTTATTGTGCTGGTGTTGCTATTTAACTAAGTACTTTTTATATAATACAAATCATGTTTCTAGGTAATCGGACAATCTGGACTCAAACCTGCCTTTGGATTTGTTAGTGAGCAGGATGTGAGGTAGACTACCGATTGCCTAGACTTGAGAAAAATGTTTGTAACACAGAGGTAGAGGAAGACTCCACTTCACACTACTACAGGAGGAGAACTACAGAGCAAAACCAAGACAAACATCCATCCTGAGTCTCTCACAACGCTTACAGCTCTCCGAAACCAGATGCCTTATCCTTCAGCAGATCAAGACACAGATGACAACTCCAACTTCCTGTGTACGAAACACATACTAAGGTGACTCACATGTATAGCATGTGTATTTGTTTAATGTGTGACTGTTTGTTCATCTATTTACATGTCCATGTGGTGTATTGTAAATCAGTGTCATGATTTTTTGTTGTTGTAACTATGTAGTAGAGGGGTCTTCAGTAATGGGTCAGTAGAATTTCAGGGGGTCAGTTGATTACTTTTTTAAAGGGGTCATGAACTGAGAAATCAAAATTCCTTGATCTTTTGACATATAAGAGGTCACTGTACTATAAAAACATCTTGTAAGTCTTGTTAGTCTAAAAACAGTTTATACTGAAGCAAATCTATCAAAACGACCGCTTGTGGACTGTGCCACTTTATGACATAATAGTGTGGCTAAACACCGCCTCCGCAGAAGATCAACCCCTATTTCTACATCACTGCCTGTTTAGCCCCGCCCACTGATTCGCGCATGTAGGGAAATGACGAGAGCAGCAATCGCAGGTCTACGCAGAAACTAAACGATAAACTTTATTTCATGAGCTTTATTTTTAATGAAGTTCCAGACAGTGTCAGTAAGAACTTGTTCCTTTGTTCACTTCATTTTACCATGGATTTGTTTATAAACAAGACACAATTCGACGCAGGATTTTCAGAAATATCGAAACTAAAAGACAATGCTGTGCTGACTACATTGGATCCGATGTAACCCCACACAAGTGTGAGTATGTTTTTATTACGTGATCACTATTGCTTTGTCTGTTATTAAAGATAGTTTGATATGTACTGAGTATGCGTTTTTAACCTAAATCACATCAGCGTTCATCAATGTAGGACATAGGCTGTCAAACGTACACAACTATTAGCCAATCATAGCAGTGGGTGTTTACTTCCGAGCCTATTCAAACAGAGCGTTCTGATAAGGGGGTCGAAACAGGACAGAAAATAGCCTATTATTTAAAAATTAAAATTTTTTTGATGTAAAAATCTTGATAACATAAGTAGACCTCAGAAAACAATACATGACCCCTTTAAATGTATTTTTATAAAAAGAAAAACATATATTCATTTAACAAATTAATATTGAGTTTTTTAATTAAGCTTCCATCAAACCTAAAAGTATAGAAATTAAGCTTCAGCTAAAGGATTCGTTTTTTCCTTTCACATTAAAATATAATATTTGATCATATCATTATTATTGCATGTTAAACATTATTAATGCATTCATGTTATTATAGGCCAGGCATTAAAGGCAACAATCCACACCAATCTGGCAGATTTAAGAACTGAAACAATGCAATTTATTAATGATTTTAATATCTATTATGTTATTAACTGCTGTGAAGTGATCTTACCCTCGGGTGGCTGTGTCATGGGAGGCTTCAGGCAGTACATGTGGTATCCCCGATCACAGTCATCACAGAACAGAAGCTGATCCTACAAAATTAGAGGGCGTCACCGAGCTGTTAGCTCACACACACTCATCCATATGAGCAGGCTTGCTGAAACATGCATACTAGCAACACGCTGCGTCAATAATATCAAACAAGTAAAGAGAGCGTTGAGAAATCTTGTTTGAGATGTCAGATCATCTAAAAGGTATTTCTTTACGCTCGCACACTATTTTATACATCCCCAAGGATTTAACACTCACATCGTTCTCTGAGGTGCCACACAGACTGCAGGATTTACACTCGATGCACTGCCACTGGTACGTCCGAACAGCCTGCATCATGTTGTCTGTGAACTGCAGACATGAAGGATGGCCTGGTGAAAGAGAAAGATGAAAGAATAATCTGATAGATAGAAAGAAGAGAAGCTAAACTCAGAGTATTAGATTATTTTTATTTACTTCACTATAATCAATTTAATTTAGAAAACATAAATCAACAAAATGTCATAAGACTAATCATTAGAAAGTTTCTTAATGTAATTTTTGTACTTTAAGGTGGATTGATATGCAGATGGATGGGGGGACAGACAGACAGAGAGAGAGAGAGAGAGAGAGAGAGAGATAGATAGATAGATAGATAGATAACATTAAAGGGATAGGTCACCCAAAAATGAACATTTTGTCATCATTTACTCATCCTCAAGTTGTTCCAAACCTTTATGAGTTTCTGTCTTCTATTGAGCACAAAAGAAAACCAAATAGTTGAGGGTAACCATTGATTTCTACAGAAGTCAATGGCTACCCTCAACCGTTTCCAGCATTCTTCAAAATATCTTCTTTTGTACTCAGCAGAAGAAAGAACCTCATAGAGGTTTGGAACAACTTGAGGGTGAGTAAACAATGACAGATTTTTCATTTCAGGTGAACTATCCTTTTAAATTAATAATGACAGGAACATGACCGAAAAAAAAAGATTACACACGATTTATGTGGAAGGAACAAACAACAATTTCCCCTAAACACCTCCACCTTCTGTTCTGCCCTCCACACACAGAAAGAGGGTAAGCACAGGTTTGGAAAATGCCAGATGGTTCTGTAACCTCACATGTCTGTCTTTCTCTCTCTCTCTCTCTGTCTTTCTGTCTCTTATGGAGGTGTCAGTTCCTCGGCCTGCTCATTTCCTCAATGAAACTATGAGAACAGCAGGCTCCTCTTGCTTGGATGCCCAGTAAAGCATGTGCAGTCTTCCCAGTTTGGAAAGCATGTGGAGCCTTGGCTTGAAGTCGGATGTTATGTGAAGCTCTTTCCCTACAGGGAGTTTCATAAGCGTTGCTATCTCATTCCTCTTCATGGCTTTGTCCCTGGTATTCACATGCAGAACTATGTTCAATATATTAAGCCACATTATGCCGACATTTAGACATCTTTTGTCTTGATTTTATTTCTTGCAAGTGTATGGAAACATGCCTGATTTAAAGGGATAGTTCACCAAAAATGAAAGTTACCACATAATTTACTCACCCTCAAGCTAAGTGTATATGGCTTTTTTCTTTCAGATGAATACAATCGGAGTTATATTGAAAAATGTGCTGGCCTTTCTCAAGCTTTTTAATGGCAGTGAATGGGTGTCGAGATTTTGAAGCCCATAAAAGTGAGTCCATCCATCATAAAAAGTACTCCACGTGGCTCCATGGGGTTAATAAAGGCCATTTGAAGTGAACTGATGCATTTGTGTGAGAAAAATATCCATATTTAAAACTTTATAAACCGTAATGTCTAGGGTCCACTAACTGTCGTATGTGTGTTCACGAGAGAGTGGCATTCAAGCGCATGATGTAGGATCTAGGCGTAGCATAAGCTCCAGTGAGAATATGCTAGTCTCGCAAGAACCAACTTTTGTTTACAGCAAAGGAAAACCAGTCTCCTCTTGGCTTATATCGAAATCCAACGACATTTTTCTTTACAAATCCTCATTTTGTACTTCTAATTCGCGACCAGTATTTTGTTTTGCTCTCTCCTCTGCGCTTCAGCATTCATCACTTCTCACCGGAGCTCACACTACGCCTACGTCATCGGCTAGAGATTACGGTTTATAAAGTTTTTAATATGGATATTTCTCTTTCACAAACGCATCGATTTGCTTCAGAAGGCCTTTATTAACCCCCTGGAGCCGTGTGGAGTACTTTTTATAATGGATAGATGCACTTTATTTTGCTTCAAATTCTCGACCACCATTCACTGCCATTATAAAACTTGGAAGAGCCAGGACATTTTTTAATATAACTCCAATTGTATTCATCTGAAAGAAAAAAGTCATATACACCTAGGATGGTTTGAGGGTGAGTAAATCATGAGGTAATTTTCATTTTGGGGTGAACTATCCCTTTAAGATGTTGATCTTGATGCAATACATATAAAATACAAACATTTTTTATCTAAAATAACTTAAAATAAATATTTTATGTGCAATATTTTTATAAAGTTCTGTTAGTTGCATTAAAATGATAGACTACAATGGTCCCCAAAATTATTTTGACGCAAGCCATACTTAAACATGTATGAATGTCTTATGTAATGCATTAAGAAAATATAAAGCCAAGTGTTATGTAAATAAAATATGGCACTTTTTTCAAGCTAAACATTTTACAATAACAAGTTTGCTAGGTTTCAAATGATAAAACAACATATTACTCAAAATTAAGACTAAAATTAAGTTATAACAATGTTCATGTGAACTTGAGGGGGGCTGACTTCATAAATGCACTAGAATGACCTTGAACCAGTCAAAAATGGCTCATAAAAGTGGTTTGTTCTGAGATAATGTTTAGCATCATTTATTTGCAGACTTAGATTGATATTTTAGTGTCATTCAGACATTTTTAAGTGTGACTTAAGTGTACAAATACTATACGAGGTCACTTGTCCCCTGTTTTCCTTCCTTGAAACAAAATTAACTCAAAGAGTAATTCATAAAATGTTAAATGTTTAATGTTTTTCAGTAACAAAATCCAGTGAAAGACTTGCAGGCTGACATTTGGAGTAACAGGACTCAGCAGCAGCCACAGCATGGATGACAGGTTGCATGAAGTGTGTTTTGTGTGTTTGTGCCACAGGTCTTCATGACACAGAAGCAGTTACAAGCATCATCTCTAGCCATGTTGCCCTTTGGCTTAGTATTAAATGAACTAAAGTTCGAATGTTAAACATTGAAACATTTTCTCAAAGTTTAGACATCAAAACACTGGGAGAAATATCATCAGGAGCTGTTACAGAACAATGGGTTTAGCCTGCAACAGCCTATATACATTATACAATATCTTAATAAATGATATTATCGTTTTCAAAAAATGAACGCCCTGAAATAGAGACAAGATCGAAAGCATTAATACGGAACATTTTTCGCAACAGTTTCAATTCAAAAGTGACACATGAGTTCACCATAACAATAAATAGAAGAGCTTTAAAGAGCAAATATAGCTAATTTTGTTCATACAAAACGGATACACTGAAATATCCCCATATTAACTGGGTGACGCCCCTGTGGCTAATGTGTATTGTGTCTTTTATTGCATGTATTCTGTTTTCTAGTTTACATTTACTGCATTTTCCTATTGAACGTAGGAAGCTTATGTGCTTGAAATCCAGTGTATTCTTATTCTTATTATTTGCATTTACACATACACAGTCAGACAGATCCTCAGAGCTGGATCTGTTAACAGAGGTGAATGGTCCAGATTTTATTTGCAAAACAAAGCCTTCATGAGAATCATTGCACATATGCTACAATTGTACCCCTTCTTATACCTGACGTTTAAGGAGAGTTTCCTGAATAGTCCTTTTTCTTCTTCTTACTCAACAAAACTAGGGAGAGGCCAAGTTTCATGTATCCTCCAGCAAACATGGGATTTCAAATTTCATTGTCATTTTTTGTTCTTGTTCTTGTAGCTGTCATGAGATGGACATTGAAATGCCAACTGGCTCTTACCTCTCTCCAAACTGTCCTCCCTTCCCTCTGGATCCAATCAGGGCCTGGCCTCAGCCCATTCTCTGCCTTCTCGTGATCCCTTTCTTTGCAAATATTGTATTTATCCAGAGGTAGGAAGAAAAAAAACCTCTTCACTATCCGACTATCAGACACATGTTGAGTATTTTCTCCTCCTTGAGGTTTGAAATTCTTTAATTTCTATTTCTAAAGTAAATTTCCACACAGTAGGCATTTTATCTTACATGGCGAAGTGTAATCCACACATCGGTAACGTCCCTGCAATTTTCCATGACGGAAAACAAACAGTCCAGAAGTAATGGCTCCTCCGATAACTAGCACCTCTCAGTATACAGAAGTGTGAAGCAATAAAAACAACATTCCTTAATTTATAAAAGGCTGCAACTTGTCCTTTGAAAGCAATTCCTGAAGTTAACATTGTGTCTGGAGTTGTGAATCCGTTACGCATGCTGCTGCAAAACAACAGGAAAAAAGGAAAAAGAAAAAACCAGGCAGCAGACACATGCCAAAAGTTTCTCTGATGCTGTTTCCTTGAGCTTTCTCCTTTGTCTATCTGTACTGAGGTGAGCCTGTGCTGTCGTCGGACAGAAGCCCGTCCAGGTCGTCGTCCTCAAAGCCGTGAAAGGTGGATGCCTCGCTTTCTGACGTGTCGCCGAACATGTCCAGAAGTCCGCCCGTCCTCCTCTTCGCCCTGGTCCCACCGACGCGATCAGCTGACATGCATGACGGACATATCAGCATCACAGTGGAAACACACACAAGTAACACTGCAGTCAGCTAGGACTCACACTCCTCTGAGCTTTGGACAACTTGCAGTCTTTGCTGTTACTCATACATTACGGCTTGCATGTCTGATTGCCTGAACATGTGCTTATCTCATTGGTTGTAGATTAAAGTTGCAGCGCATTAATAGCTGTAAGTGAATCATGAAAAGGGATAGATCACCCTAAATTAAAATTCTGTCATTATTTACTCACTGATTGATGGAACACAAAGTCTTACAGGTTTTGAGGTGAATAAATAATGACGGAATTTTCATTTTTGTGTGAACTATTCCTATACATTTTTTTTTATTTTTTACTGAAGAATACATCATTTGGTCTCTCCCTGTTCTTGCTATACCATTCGATTATGAGAAGGCAATGGATCACATAGCCAAGAAAGAAAAACATAAAGAATGGAAGCATATGAGCAAAATAAATATGAGAATATTTTGCGCACATGAACTGAGATAACTGATAATGCCCTAAACAGTTAAGAATTTTGAGCATGTTAGGAGTTCCAGGATCATTTGCTAGCAAAAGCACTTGTGTAAAACAAAAAACGCAAAACACAAGCACTCAAAGAGATGAACCAAAAGGCCACGTCACATATAAATGCTCATTCTCAACACTGCAGGATTTGGCTACACTTACAAACACAATACACATTCTAAATGCAAGCTTGGAAATTTTTTCTTTCTTTCTTTTTTTCATCAGAATTTTTTTTAAAGACCAATGTGGATTGGTTAGGTAATTGCAAAGAGCAAATGTTTTCAGGTCTGCCACCTTGAAAACGTTTCGCATCTATCTAAGCAATCTAAATTAAATGTAAGATGCTTCTGGACCTTGTAGTCTTGGCATCAGCCATGAAAAACGGCATGACTTAATGGTTTCTTCCGTTTCAATCGAATCCCATGACACTCCCACAGCAGTTTCACAGAATTGCACCTGCTTTCCCTTCCAAATCTAATTAGAATGAACTGTGATCTAGCCTTGGTCAAAACAGTCAGAGCAGAAAATGAATATCAACTAGATGATTTTTACTTAGGCCTATGTCTTTTGTATGATAACAAAATCTTAGCAGATTATATTAGAAAGAGACAATAACAAAAAAGATTAAGTTATATACATTTTCATTTCCATTATTAATTAAACAATAAAAGAAAATATATATAGTTACTATTTTTATATTTATATTATTCATTAATTTTATTTGCATTATTTTCACTATGTATCTTTTGTTGCACAAAAGAAATTTAAAGGTGGGGTAAGCGATTTTTCAAACCGCTTTAGAAAACTGATTCGGGCCGAATAGCAAAACAAGCTTGTAGCCAATCAGCAGTAAGGGGCGTGTCTACTCATGATGTGGAGGAGAGAGCGTTCAGTCCGAGCTGAGTGACAGAAAGATAGAGATGGCGGATAAAAAAACAAAAGAGGAAAACGTCTGCGGAACAAAAGAAGGCTTACGATAAGGCAAGAAGTA